TGGTAAGGATTGTAGGTTATTTTTGTGCTGAGTTTGTTTTGCCCAAGATGACTTGATTTTTGTTTTATTTATCGTTCTGGGTCAGAGTCATGAGAGGATAAGTGATAGGGAATCTAGATCGATCATAATTTGCTTACAATTGCCCAAGTGGGGATTAGCGAATCAGGTGACTTCTTTTGAGGTGACTGATACTAACTCTGGTCCAAGGGCTTATGGTTGAACTATGGTTTGTAATCTTTGTAGCTTGTCTGTTTTCTCTGGGCTGGATGTTATTTGTGATTTTGCTGGTATTCATATATAAGCCGATTTTCCTAAAAAACAAACAATTAAATGAGTTCAATGGCCGGAAAACAACATGTTATATCAAGTTATTGGCATTTTTAGTTTTTCTTTTCTTTTCTTTTCTTTTCTTTTCTTTTCTTTTCTTGTGTTCTCGCTGCACCATGTTGCCATCCCACGGTTTCTTTTTGTTTTTTCTCCTTTTTTTCTTCTTTCTCAATCATGGAAAGAATATAACAAGGAAGAGAATTAATGGAGTATATTCTCATATAATTCAGGGGTCAAAGGAACACATGAACATGCCTCTATAATCAACAAAGGCAACCCTAGTAAGGTGAGGCCGAGGCGACCCCCAAAGCTGAGGTCGAGCCCAGGTAGACAATTCTCAAAACAATCCAAGAACCCGAAACAACATATACATGATACTTTCTATTTATTACCTTTATTTCATCTTTTAAAAGAAATACCAGTTATGTTGAAAACCCGAAAGGACAATCTAAGAAACAAATTGGTAAAAAATAAATCAGTGAGTCTTTGAGAAAATAGAAAAAAGGGCTAGAATTATGGACCTTAGTATTCGTTAGGCTACGTATTCTGGATTCTGGGGTTAACCGTAGGTGGCATGTGACCTATGTATTCGCTAGACTCAAGAAATCTTGAATTTTGTCCATTTTCAAAACGAACTAGGAGTTTTGGAATGTTAATGATTTGGGTGAATTAATATTGGATAAAGGTTTTGGAAAGTGATATTTAAATTTAAAAGTTTAAAAGTTTCTTTTGAGTTATAAATGTTGATTTGAATGTGGTATTAGTATCTTGAAAAATACTCCGTATGAATTTTGAAGGACTTTGAGTACATAAACTATTGTTGTCAAATTATATTATTTTACGGGGTAGAATGAGTCTTACTTAGTTATAAGTTAGTCTTTAATTGTTTTCTTGTGTTTTGTTTCTATACTTTAATTTTCTCCAAGTGAGTAAGATTGTGCTTGATGATGAGAATTGCACTAGAACACCTAGTCTATCACTAAACACTTGCCCATTTAAATTGAATTTGAGACACGTAAACAATTCAGTTATTTCTGATTTTGAATACTTCTGCATTTACATGTGAATTTTGATGGTGGGTTAGCTTGTCCACTTGATTATGTGAGAACTGAGTGTGACGGCATCACCCAAATTTTTAATTCTGTTATGCAACATAGAGTGCCTATATCATATAACCGGCGACAATTTGACAATTTAAATAAAATTCGCGGCTTCCGCTAAATTGAGTTGTATTGCACTTTTAGTGAGCATCAGGCCTATTCTGTTGAGTATGAGGAGCCTAACAATGATGATCATGATCCCTGCATCATTACTTATTATTCACTTTCTCTTTCTTATTTTTTATTTAGTAAAGACTTATGAAATTATATCTATAATAAACTCTTATGAATTTCAATATGTAAATATAATGTAATATGATACTTTTTAAATATACATCGATATGACATTTTAAAATGAACATAATATTAATACAAATGAGCATGCGTAACATAAAAAATGAGCATTACATCAATATCAAATGAGCATACGTACTTATAAAATGCGCATAAAAATTTTCAAAAATCTTATTTAAAATCTCTAGTATGCTCAAATATAATGAGAATACATAACTTATGAAATGAGCAACAAAAAATATAAATTGAGCTTAACACCAATATCCATGGATATGACATTTTAAAAGCACCAATTATTTTTTAAAATTTTTAGTATGCTCAAATATCGATTTGTGTATGGTCATATCAATATAAAAAAAGCACCAATTATTTTTTAAAATAATATCAATGCAAATTTAATTTAAAAAATATACTCATAATTATTTAGAAGGTTGGAGCTTTTAATAGAAGAGTGAGAAAAGTATATGTTTTTATTGAATTTTCATTCGATATAATTTTTTTAAATAATTGCATAAAAATTCTTGTAGAAAATTTACATAAAAATAAAAAAGTAGGAGTTCGAAACTAAATGAGCAGAAGACAAAAGTTATATATAAAAATAAAAAATAAAAAACGGAAGCAAGAAAAAAAAAGGTAACGTAAGAAAAATTAAAGTTCAAAATTAAAGGAAAAGAAAAAGAAAAACGGAAGCAAAGAAAAAAGAAGAAAAAAAGTTAAAGTTAGAAAAATTAATATTCAAAATTAAAAGAAGGAAAAAATAAAAATAGAATGAGAAAAAAGAAAGCATGGAAGAGCGGAAGAAGCAACGAAAGAGAAAGCCAAGAAGCAAATATAAAATATGACCTAAATAGGAGTAAAAATGTTTTGAAATTCCAAAATAGGAGTATCATGTTTTTTATTCCCTGAATAGGAGTAAATTTCTGCCAAGTTTGGCATTACAAGGCTTTTAAACATGGCATTTTCTTCCAAACTTGGCAGATTACTCCTATTCAAGGAATAAAAAACATGATAATCCTATTTTGGAATTTCAAAACGTTTTTACTCCTATTTAGGGAATTCTCTCAAGCAAATACCCTACTACATTATTAATAACCTCCATTTTACAAATGATTACAAAAATACCTTGTTGTATCAAATCACATACTCCCTCCGTTCTGGAAACAAGTTTCCACTTTCTTTATTTGGATGTCCCAAAATAAACTTCTAATTTCCTTATTTGGCAAATTATCTACATCAAAACAGTGCAAAACAGTGTCGAAACAGTGTCAAAGCAGCAAAATTTACCCCTCAGTAACTTTATTTCCTTAAAATGTGTGAAAGTCAACCCAGGAACTTGTTTCCGGGATGGAGGTAGTAGTATAGTCCGGTGTATGGTATATTTTGTTGTGCAATATACTCCCTCCGTTCTTTATTAATAGTCCCGTTAGCCTAGGGCACATGCTTTAATAATAAAGTAGTAGGGTAAGTACCAAGTATAGAGTGTGTAGGGTAAATGATAAAGTAAAAAATATGATATATTAAAAAGAGTAAAAAAAAATGATAAAGTAGAAAAGAGAAACTAGTTTGTAAAAAGTAAGTGGGGGGTAAAAGTAATAAAAATAGGTGTATTTTATCAAAAACTTTCCTTAAATGGAAAGGAGGACAAATAAAAAAACAGACCAAAATGGAATAAGAGACTATTAATAAAGAACGGAGGGAGTATTACATTTTGAATTTTAATATTTTGCGGAAATGACTTATTAAATTACTACGTACTCCCTCCGTCCCATAAAATAGTTCCCGGTTTCCTTTTTGGACCGTCCCAAAAAATAGTTCACATTTCCCTTTTTGGAAAGGTTTGTGTGACTCACATTCATTTACCTTTTTCTTACTCAACTACAACCATACATTTCCAATTTCTTAAACTCCGATCCAAGTCAATGCGTGAACTACTATATGGGACGGAGGGAGTACTATTTATAGCATGTGTTTTTGATAAGAATTTGGGGAGTATTACATTCATGTTTTGCAAAAAGTTTTGTTCAGTTTTGAGTAAGTTTTCTATGCCTGATTAAGAAATGAGAGGAAATTAGATGGTTATGAGTAAAACATAAACAAACATAAATGCACATTAGAACATGAAATCGTATGATACCCAACAAGAAATAAAAACATTACTAACGTGATCCCATCATTTTATCAAAAGAGAATTCAATCAACAAAAACAACTAAAACTCACATCAATGAACAAACCAATCTGTCGTTGAGGAGAGAAAGCACTGAACGAATGAACAAATGTTCAGTAGGAAGAAATCAGAGGATGAAAGCACTTGTGTGAAACATTCAGAATGAACAAAGGGCCGATGTATGCCTTCAAGCGGTTGAAAAGGTATGAGAGGGAAAACACATAGATTTAGCAAATATTCTAAACTGCCAAAAACTAAACCCTCTGATTTCCACCGTTTTGGTTTGCCGCAGTTTTATATGAGTCGCTATGCGCACCCTCTGTTTACCAAATGCAAAAATCAGCGATTTTACTAGTCCAAAACGCTGAAACGATCAAACCCTCCGTTTTTTGACCGTACCGCCGATAAACAAATGCAACCAATGTTTAACTATAATAGAAGAGCTTATTTGTCTTTTTTCCTCAAAAAGTATTATTGCAGTGGAAAAGATAAATGCATTATAAATTTATAATTGGTAATCATGTCCAAGGTAATACTGTTTTGATCTCAAGCGTTACCTAAATAGGATAACTTTATCTATTGAGTATTGGGTTGAAATCAAGCACGCTCCCTTTCCTCTCATAAAAAAGAACTACGTAGTACTTTATAGCTAAGTTTTATAGGATACTCCGTAGTATTTTTCATCCTAAAATGAAGTTCCCATTTTAGTTCATGATACTTTATCGAGGATGAAGTTATTGATTCTCTTACAACATTTAAATTATTATAGGTAATTGGAAACATTTAGAAAGTAGCACATCTTCCAAAGCATTAAGAGTGCAAGAAAAAAAGCAGCAGGTAGATTTGTGTAAGTATAATAAACACAATTCTTGTGTGAGCCATATATTTCTTAAGGGATATTTTACTACTTTTAAACTGCTTATATGAGCATCTCCCTTTACTTAAACTGAATGTTAAAAGCTGTTAATCTGCTCATAGCCTCACCCTTTAACTTATTAAAAAATATTTATTAGAGTAAGACAGGGAATGTTGGTGATCCTCCCTACCATTCTTTAAATTCTATGCTTGTGCTGAAAGCAAAGAAAATGACAAAAAAGTAAATTGCTCTCATATTGCTGCATCAAAGTGTGATATTCCTACAATCCTACACATCCCTTTCCCCTTCAGTTTTGTTATACTCCCTCCGTCCCTAAATAAACTTCTATTTCGCTTTTCGAGGGTCAACTTAAATCACACTTAAACTCTTACTTTATATATCAAAATTTTATAAAAAGTGAATTTTGTTTTGCAGGCTTTGTAGCGGGTTTGATGTAGTTTCTGAATATATAAATTTTATTTTCTAAAAATAATCCGAGTTTTCACAGGGATCATTTAACTTTATCACTGGTCAAACTTCGTAACCCGCAATTGGAAGTTTAATATGGGACCGAGGTAGTATTTGTTATCACATAAAGTAAGCTGTAGTATCAGAAATCCCAACATGAGATCAATTGGGATCTGCTGTAAGAGTTCAGATTCCAACATGAGATCTGCTGTAAGAGTTCAGATTCAAATACTGCATATGTAGAAGGAGAATCATTCCATTGAGAAACATCCAAAGTTCAGATTCAAATACTGCATATAAACATCAAAACAACCAAAGTTCAAGGATGTTCATAAAGAAGAAGAAAAGACATACAATTATATAGATGGACTATATACAAATAAAATGTGGCAAATCCCTTTATTTAAACCTGTTAAAAGCCCTTCATCTCCAAATAATACATTATAAATTTACAATGGGGATACAAGTCCCATAACCAATTACATTTCAAGAACAGCCCCAAAGAAAAAAGAATGGTATCATATAATGTGTAAGTCCCCATTTAATACAACATATATCACAACAATCAAAACAATTTCCAGCACCACAAAAAGCCCCTTAAGCTTCATCCTTGTACAGATATACAACAAAGTAAGACAACAAAGTGTGTGTATGAACTTTAAAAAAAACAATCATCAGAAGAATGAACAAGGAAAGACAAAACAAAAGAAATGGAATTGGTCCTTTGATCTACCTCTTCCTCCCCACCACCACTACAAACAACAGAAAGAATGTTTGTATAGTTTCAGTGTGAACTCTTCTTTCCACCAGCACCTCCATAGTAACTGAGATACCATTGCACAAATTTCTTCAACCCGGTTTGTAAATCTGTACTAGGTTTATACCCAAGCTCCCTCTTAGCCAAACTGATATTAGCATGTGTAAACTGAACATCCCCATTCCTTGGCAGCTTCATAATTTGCCTCTTGGCTTTCACCTTCAGCAGCTTCTCCAATATGCCAACTAGATCAGACACCGGGACGGGTGAAGTGTTCCCGAGGTTGAAAACCCGCAATTGAGCAGGCCCCTTCTTTTTCCCGCCACTTCCAGTACTCTTCTCCGCGGTATCTAAGGCTGCCAAACACCCCTTCACAATGTCATCAATGTAAGTAAAATCTCTGGCGACGGTTCCGTGGTTTGCCGCCTCAAATATGGGAATTGACTTCCCCTTCAATATGTCTTTGGTGAAAAAGAAGTACGCCATGTCCGGTCGGCCCCAAGGCCCGTACACCGTGAAAAACCGCAATCCGGTGAGGGAAAGCCCATAGATGTGATTATATGTGTGGGCAATTTCCTCCCCGGCTTTCTTGGTGGCAGCATAAAGACTCGCGGGTTGATCTGTTCTATCAGATTCCGAAAACGGGACCTTACTGTTCAATCCATAAACAGAGCTTGAAGAAGCCCAGACTATGGCCGGCTGTGGGTTGACATTTTTGCAGACCTCCAGAAGGTTGACGAAGCCTGCGATGTTGCTATGGACGTATGATCCCGGATTCTCCATCGCGTATCTCACGCCGGCCTGGGCGGCGAGATGCATCACGTGCGTGAAATGGCCGATCTCGAAGAGCTTCCTGAGCAATGCGGCGTCGTTTATGTCGCCTTCCACTATGAACACCCCGTTACGCTCGAGGAGCTTTTGGCGGGCCCGCTTCAACGACGGCTCATAATAGTCGTTGAAAACGTCGAGCCCCACCACGCCGTCACCGCGGCGCTTGAGGGCGGCGGAGACGTGGGTCCCGACAAAGCCGCCGGCTCCGGTGACAAGAACGGTCATGCCGTTTCTTGATCTGACTTTCGCGGAGGCCCTGATCTTCTTTTCCCAGGCTTGGCCGCCGTAGGAGCTGGTTTTGAGGGATCTCCGGAAGAGATCCGAGGGGACGGCGGGGGAGGAGGAAGACGACGGTGATCTGAAGAACAGAAAGTAGATCAAAGCGAAGAACAGGATGGACCAAAAGGTGAACCTGGGTAGGGAGGAATGAAGCCGGAGCCTATTGCTATGGTATGGAGGCTTATCCATCTTGAACTTTCCTGGGGATGTCGGAATATCATCGTCAATGTGCTTCATCCCGGCGAGTCTTGAAAAACCGAGCAATACCCTGATTCGGTTCACCGGATTTTCTCGGAACTCTGGCCTGCCTTGGGCTAAAGAAGGAAAAAGGAACAATCTTTCTTTCTGAATTTCTTATAATCTTCCAGATATGGATTGTTTCAGGGAGGAAGATGAGAGAGCTTGCGGAGGTGAGGTCTGCCCAAAGAGAGGAGTGGAAGGGCAGAGAGGGGAGGGTAAGGAACAATTGGTGCCTCAATTGTGGGAATCTTCTTATGGTTTCTTGGAGAGGGAGAGGTTGTTGGTTGTGGAAGGTATTCCTTTCTCCCCTTTGGTTTGGTATAGTTTTGGTTCTACAGATTGATGATTGATGATTAATATGAAACGACTGATTGGAGAGAGAAAAGGGGAGTGGACTAATCGGTGGTGAGGAAGAAGACAGATGAGGTGGTGGAAGAATTTTTGTAGTAAAAGGATGAAGGAATATTGGTGGACTAATGATTAGTGATGAAGGAACCATTTATAAGAAAGGATAATTCAAAAATCATCATTATACATATTCTTATACACACTTTTGTACACACTTATTTCACAGAAAATATTTTGCACAAATAAAATATTGTCTGTGAACCGGGTTCACAGAAAAAAAAATTACAAACATGGTGAGTGTAAAATAAGTATAAGATTGAGTACATCAAGCATTGTTGAAGATAATTAGGTGTATTTACATTTTTTAGTATAGAGTTACATATTGTACTCTTTCAAAAAAGATGTTACTCCTTCCGTCCAATTTTAGTTAGCCAAACATGACTTTTAAAGTCAATGACGTCTAATTTTGATCGATTATATGTTTATATAAAGAAAATATTGATAATATGAAAATGATATGAAAATGTTATCTGTTAAAAATAGTATATAAAGTTATTAAATTTTGTAATTTCAAATGATTATTATACTCAATTCACGAGATTATCATCACTCGAATTATGCATTTATGAACTCTATTCAATTAAAGATTTACAAAGCACATTGATAAATATTACGACACACATCAATTATATATTAAAAATTACAAAGTTCATTATAACATTAGAAATCTATTGTTCATATGAATATAATTGGTTGTTCATTCATATCCTAATCTCATCAAATATATAGATCATTTGTCATCTAATGTACATTTTTATCTATCACTAATTTCAACAATAGTTTTTCTGCAACGTTAAAACAATCTCAAATTCCCACTAATATCTATGTTTGAACATTGCTTCTCTGTATGTACATTAAACAACTCTCATTTCATCCTCATAAGGCATCATAGATATGATTATTCATCACAATGTTAGAATACTTATGTCAACAGAACAAGCATTGCCGCTGCTAATTAATTTTAGGCCGGAATAACTACATATTATGATTGAAAAAGACTATTTATAAAAGTGTGATCTTAAGTATAGTGATTATATTGATAACTATAAACAAAGTGATTAATGCTCAGGCTTTAGATTTAATTGATCATGTCACTGTTCTATATTAACTTTTAATAATCTTTTTACAAGATAGAACAATTGTTAATTGATTGTATATTATACTTTGGTGATAATTTTCGATAACTATCAACATTAAGTCTGCCTCAAATATCATAGAGTATTCTATGGCGAGTGAAATCAATTAAAACATCATAATGATCACTAAAGTTACTATTATAGTGACTAATAAAGTAGAGTGTTCTCTGGCGAGTGGAATCAATTAAAACATCGTAATGGTCACTAAAGTTACTATTATAATCACTAAAGTACAAAAAGTCACATTCTTATCATTTTTTTTTATTTTAGTTAAAGGAAAATCATTTCAAGAGCCATTCACTGAATCGATTCCAATTGATCTTAGCCCATGAAGTGGAATCGGCCACCCCAAGCATCCCCGCACCGATCCAACAAAATAGTGGAGAAGTAAATCACATTATTATTTTAAATGATTTCTGAGTGAGGTGATTCAGAGTATAGTGTGCATAAGGAGCAACCACATTGGGAGAAACTCTCACAACACAATGCCGCTGTCGGGAATCAATTAATCAAACTTGGGACCTCAACACAAGTGTCTCACTCGGCCGTCGTTGAGCTATCCGTGCGGAGAGTACAGTCATATATTTGTCATTATTTCTAATTGTACACATGTTTGATCTCTACGAACAATTAAACGCACAATGTTAAAATGAAAAAATCTCTAAATAAAAAAGCAAAACATAACATAGCTCCTAAAATATATGTGTAAATCTTTGCCTTTTAAAATACTAGTATGAGCCATTCACTTCTACTGTAGTTTATGCAAATTATTATTATTTTATTCTTCTAAAAGGACTAAGATAAGTCTTGTTTGGGAGAGAAAACATATTAATTCTGCTTTTAACTTTGTCCCTGTTTTAGTCCAATTCTGACCAAATTCTTATTTCTATTTACCTAATTGGAAGTGAATGCTAGGTATAGACGAATTTGTCAACCCACTTATTGTATACTTATTTGATCCAAATGAACAATTAATACAATTTTAATAAATGATATAATGAGAATAGTTGTGATAAATGGCTAAATGGAAATATTTGTAATAAATGGTGTTTCTGAATCGCCCATACATCTTGTTATTTATAATTGATTTTACACTTTTTCTTAATTTGATTAGTCTAAATTTTCTAGTGAATTTTTTCTTTTTAATTTAAGGTATATTTGTCCTCACTGACGTATTTTTCTGGATACGCCACTGCATAGTTGTATATGGCACCAATAGGTTCCACAATTTTATTTCATTTATCATTTCCTCTTTCATTTTACTAGCTAATGTCTTGTCTATTCTCATCCCATTAGGAGATGAACTATCATTAGCAGTTGTTCTTTGAATTCTCAATTTATCAATAAAATTCCTTTTCTTATAAAAAAAGATTACTGGACAAATTGATGAAAAGAAATGGATAACATCATAACAAGTGAAGGAGTACAATTTTTTAATACTCCGTATAAAACTATCAGCACAGTATAATACCAATTACCACAGTTTAATTTGCAGATTTTTATAGCTTCTTCTAAATAAATCTATTCCGTGAACTAAGAAGTGTCTAAAATTACACTGTGGACACGTGTACCAAAAAAAGAGAGAAAACCCCTCTTTCTTGAATAAATTCAATACAAAATGCAACAGGGGAAACCCATCATTTTTTCATCCCGCCAGATGCAGTAACAACATCATAAGATTTTATTTCATTCAATCAGTTATTATAATTATAATACACAAGAACCGCAAATTAAAAGGGCCTTTTTGTTCAGACCCAGTTCTAACAGCTTTTGGAACCATAACTAATGAACATGAAGACAAAAAGTGGAAACAAAACTTCAATGCTTAGAGAACTTCTCAAGAACATCAAAGTAATCTGGGAAAGTCTTGCGAGTACAGCCAGGGTCTTTAATGGTGACAGGCACATCGGCACAAGCAGCAAGAGAAAAAGCCATAGCCATTCTGTGATCGTCATACGTATGTATTTCGGTCACGTTCAATTTCTCAGGTGGGGTGATTACACAGTAGTCTGGACCTTCCTCAACTGTTGCTCCCAACTGTTGGGGAAACAAAAAAACACAATAAAGTTTCTGATTGTTAGAAGACATAAACTATAAATGGAGTTGGAAGTGTACCTTTCTAAGCTCAGTGCATATAGCAATCATCCGCTCGGTTTCCTTTACTCTCCAGCTAGCAACTAAAGGGTAAGTAAGAAACAATAAAATCAACTTCTGGAATAACTCATAATTACATGCTACATAAGCACATGTCACATGCTGGAACTCAAACATATTATGTAACTTTTCTTTTAATTTGAGAATCAAAATAATATCAGTGCAATATTGTCTTATATAGGGGTTCTCCCCCGATATTACGAAATAATGCTCATGTGACTGCTATCTAAATGTTCCAAAAAGAGAGACTAAAATGTCACTTTAGACGTTTATATGTCACTGCCAATGGCAGCCTCTCCACCGACACAGCCCCACATGTAAATGTCACGAGTGAAAGTTTTTTCCCGTAGACTCTTTTTGGGCAACTATTCAATGGGAATTCCAGTGCCAGTAGCGGCAGTGGTTGTCTGCTACAGCGGCTGGCGGTGGTGACAGTTGGGAGCTATAGGCGTGGGAGAGATAAATGGCAAGGATAGAGTAGGGTTTGAAATAGGTCCTGTTTTGTCACTTCTATGGAAATATGAAAAGCTAGGGGCCAGATTTCCGACATTCTTTTAATAAATATTCTAGGACTTCATAGAAAATATTTAAAATATGGTTTCTATTAGCAGCATTATTAGCACTACAGAGTTCTGAGGGACACAATCTGACTATATAAAAATGGCATCTCAGTTCAACAAAGATGCACTGTTTTTATTATTGAACTATCCTGATAGCAGTTTTGAAGATCTCTCTGCTAAAAGCATTCGTCTCTTATTTTTCTTTTTTTGTGTGTGGGATGGTTTTAGGATTCAACTGTAGCATGTAGAGAGAGGTAAAGAGCAAACCGTCTCGGATGGTAGTGGGGCCATCAGCAAAAAGTGCAACTACAGCAAGAGTCATAGCAACGTCTGGCATTTTATTCATGTTGACATCAATGCCACGTAAGTTTTTCCTTGTTGAAGTGGAACGTGGCGGCCCTTTCACAGTTACACTGTTCTCTCTCCATGACACTTCAGCTCCCATTTTCCCAAGAACCTCAGCAAACTTGACATCCCCCTTTAGAGAATAAAAATCATGAGGGTTAATCATTCAATTCTCTTGACAATAGAAGATAAAGTAAAGAAATTACTCCAGAAAAGGACTAAAATATTGGTTATATGCCCAAATCAGATTATTTTTGGCTTTATCTAAAAGCAGGATTCATTCTTTCAATCCTAAAGAAAGAAAAAAGTGATTACTTATTCTTTTTCTAGGATTGAAAGGGACATTTTTTTTTCAGAAAAACAATGATTCTCATATTTGCATTAATGTGTTATGTTTTAGTCTATTTACGACATTTCTGCTGAAAGAAATATGCATGCAAATTAAGTGCTTGATTGGTGAACTTGTTTTTCCACTTATTAGCCTTATCACTCAAGACTTCTTTAGCAATTTTTGTTTGTTTCATCCATCAAATTTGTTAATGATGAATAAAAGTAAGGCTAGAGGTATTTTTTTGTTAAAGATGACTATTTTAGGCTTTTAGCTATTTTCTATATGCATTTCCTTTTCCTTATTTTACATACAACTTTTTTATAATTAAGAAGTTCAACCATAACTTCAGCAAAATCAGCAGATTATAGCAATGCACTGATGATACCCAGAGGACAAAATTGAGTAATACTCATAGTCTATTGTTGATGGACAAAATAGGTTAATCTACTCTTTAGAATGTGCGGTAAAAAAACAATAAAAAAACATGTACGCTAGGAACAGAAGAGAGAGTAACACCTGTAAACTGCTTGTTCCACAGCCTTCAACTGTGATGGTACCCCCAGTAATAGCTGCACCAGCTAAGAAGTAACTGGCACTCGAAGCATCACCTTCCACATAAGCATTTCCAGGAGATCTGATGACAAATTTCATGTATACACATAAATCTGATCTTATGAACTTCTCAAAATCAGATATTATAGGGGATAACATGAAGCCTACTTACATGTATTTCTGACCTCCCCGGATAAAAAAACTGTCCCAGTTATCACTGTGATGCACATTAACCCCAAAGCGCTCCATCAACTTTATAGTCATTTCAACATATGGAACTGAAATTAGTTTGTCAATTATTTCAATCTCCACATCGCCTAAAGCCAGAGGAGCAGCCATTAGTAAAGCAGTCAAATATTGGCTGCTGACTGATCCTGAGAGTTTCACCTGTAAATGTAATGCATTAGATTAGCTGGAACTAAACTTTCTTAATAACTACGTCGTGGCATTGTTAGCAGCCTATGCAGAAAAATGCACATTATAATGAACCGTAAGGGTATGTTTGAAACATGGAAAATGCCAGGGAAAGATAACAGGGAAAAAAATATAGCAGGAATTTGATAAGAAAGGAAATGTTGGTTCAAATATGGCAGGTAAGGAACTAAAACATTGGTTCAGACTCAACTAGTTTAGGTTTAATATTTATTCAAATTCAATTTTATTTAGTTATTATTTGTTTTACATAAATACTCAGAAATCTAAACATATGTAAAAAAAGATTTCACTTTCCACTGCATTTCCTGAAGTAGAACAAAACATAAGAAAATAACACATAAAGCTTAGCATTTTCTTTTCTTTCCATATGCATTTTCAGACATCCCTACATAGCCTGAGGGGCCTATTAGAACCTGGGAAATTCTATGTCATGAATATAGGGAGGAAACTATTTAATTGATTCAAACTCAAAATTAGATTTAGCATATTTGGTTGAACTTATTTGATTCATATGTTTCTATACAGACCAAAAATTTTAATTATGTGAAGCTCCAAAAGTTTTTAATCAAATTTGATTTTGTTTTGAATTTTCTAAAGTAGAAGGCAAACACTAAATCCCTAACATTCTTAACAGATTTTTCAATTCCCACCTTTCCTCCTGGAAGGCCGCCCTTTCCGATGACTCGAACCGGGGGACAGTTGGTGCCCATATAACAATCAACATCTGCTCCAAGCTGCTTTAAACCAATGACAAGATCACCAATTGGTCTTTCTCTCATCCTAGGAACTCCGTCAAGTACATACCTATTGACAGATAAAAGTGATTAACAAACTGAACCAAATTGTGTTGCACTTCTATCAAAATCAACAAAGTCTAAAAAGGATTGGATGCAAGGGAAAAAAACCTCGCATTTCCACCGGCTGCAACAACTGCAGCAGTCAAAGGTCTCATTGCTGTTCCGGCATTTCCAAGGAATAGTTGAATTTCATCATTTGATGAGTCATTACTGACAGGAAAGAGACCGCCGGAACCTTCTACAGTTGCTTGCTGAATTGCACTGTCTTGTTCAACCCTAAGACCGAGTGTTCTCAAGGCACCAAGCATATAATGGACATCATCACTGTTCAGTAAATTTTCCACCACAGTTGTTCCCTGAGTTCATATATTGCGGGAAATGGGAATATGTAATAATTGCACCAGACATTATATTGACAGAAATTAAAAATAAGTAAATCAAATCTTTTAATCATCATCATCAAACAGCTGGAACCTTTCAACAAATACAGCCCAGTCCAAATCGCAGAATCCTCTGCCATACTCAGAACTTAAAACTGTTATAGTCAAGTTCACAAGTCAATACCTGAGAAAGAGCAGCAAGGAGGAGGATGCGATTGGAGAGTGATTTGGAGCCGGGCAGCTTGACGGTGCCCGAAATATCTTTAATAGGTTCAAGAACTATCTCCTCCGGAGCTTTTGATATTTTCTCAGCGGTTGCCACCGATGCCCGGACCTGTAATGGAGGCCGGGTGGAAGTAAAAATTGAATCTTTATTGGTCTTCTGCGGGAATTTAATAGAAACAGCTGGATTGTTCAGGCTGTTTGACCTGGAGAAGAACGAAGGTGAAGGAGAGGTTCGCGGTTTGGAGAGGCTGCTGGGATTAAAACGTAACCCTTGAATCGTCGTGCTGGCTTTCGCCATGTCTCTGTAATTCGCAAAGATTGAAGCTTTTCTTCAATCGAACTGAAATCGGCAGGTAAGTTAGGTAGATTGAAGGAGGTGAACTGGAGAGGGTTTGGCGGGGAGATATGCGCTTGCTCTTTTAACCAGTCGCTCTTAAGTATGATGACGATGGCTTTTTGTCAACAACCCCGTCTCTGGTTAGAAATAGTTTCATTTCACTTCTTTTTCAGCTTTAAAATTCACCTACCAGGAAGAGGTTGGTGGGAATGGTAGGCCAGGCAGTTCTTGAGAGAGGCTTGGCAGTTGACATTTGCTTTGAAGATGTGCTGCCGATATGTTATGGGGCGACAAGAAAATGTTTTGCGCAGAGCATGTTTTGGGTCATTAGCCCAGCCCACTTTTGGCGACATTTACTTGTGATTTATAAAGAATTAATTCCATTTTAGGTCCTCCGAGTTTTGTATCATTTCCATATTTAGTATCGTCTTTCATTTTATCCATTTTTGGTATCTGACTATTATTTTTTTTGACCATTTTCAGTCCATCTCTGGGCATTTTTACTACTAGAAAAGGAATATATATGGTCAAGAAAATCATAGTCAAATACCAAAAATGGATAAAGTGAAAGACGAAGATTAATTGTGGAAATGGTGCAAAACTTAGAGGACCAAAATTTTTCATTTATAAATTATACTCCCTCCAAATTGAAAAGTCTAAAACATAAAAAGTTAGCAATCCTAAACAGAGAAGGATTGAATGAATGATTTTTCTATACTTTCACTCTTAATTTTTACTTTCAAAGGTTTTGGTCCGATTATTTCATATTTTCATTGATCTAAAGTTTTATCCGTTTCAGGTGAGCGTGTGGTATATTATGGCCCTAACAATGTCTAGACTCTAGAGGTTGTGTGTTATTCATCAATGTAATCGATCTGGTGAATTCTTATTATTCATAGTTGACAAAGCTTTTACAATTTGATTGTTTTGAGGCTTCAATTACTCGCCATCTACCTGAACCACCGCCTCGCTTTGGAAAGAAGAAAATGCTCAACTGAATCTTCTTTTCGGTGGCTGGTCAAATCGGCGATTTAAATGGTGGAAATAAGAAATTTTGCTCGGCTGAGTTTTTATTGGTTATTGTTGGTCAAATCAATTCTTCCTTTCCGGTGGCGAGTGAAGCCAGGAATCTTGATTTAGTTTGTTTCCTTTCTAGTTTTGACAATTTATTTTCTTTCAATTCTTGATAATTTGTTTCAATTTTTACTTTATTATTTCTCGTACTAATCAAACTTGACAAAGTTTTAAAGGTGGAGTATATATATTACTCTGTATTATAATATTAATAGGGACAAGGGCCCAATTGCAATGAAAATATTTAATTTCTTCCCGTGAGAAATGAGAGCGGTCCAATGTCACGCCCCGGACCTAACCGGACACGTCAACAACCCGCCGTACAGTACGAATGGTCAACCGCAGTCCAACACATCCATACTATACAAGGCGTCTGGGATATCATTCACACATAGTACATCCATAAACAAACATAATGTAAAATATTCATTCATGGCAGCGGAAACATTCAATACGAGTATTCATGCCACACCTTGGCAAACATGGGCATACAAGCCCCCAAATAAATATTTAAAAGTATTATCCATGAGCATTAATTAAATAGTTTGTAAAAATGGAAACGGAGGAAGCACGAACCACGTCTCCCCTTCCTTGGATCCCCTCGAGAGCAACGTCGTTGGTAGCAACCTTCAAGTTCTACCTGAAACTGTGAGGTGGCCTCCCCCGTGAAGGGGAGGTCAGTACTTGGAAGCATTTGACAAGTACAATGACAACTATACTAAGTATAATCAAAGTTTCAATTTCCAAGACCCTCAACCTAAGATGTTATTCATTTGTAATTAACTCATGTTCTCCATGCTAGAGCTCGGCTCATAGTCATATCATTTTGTGCTAGAGCTCGGCTCATAGTCACCCTACGTTTGCTAGAGCTCGGCTCATAGTCATACTAATTTGTGCTAGAGCTCGGCTCATAGTCACCCTACGTTTGCTAGAGCTCGGCTCATAGTCATACTAATTTATGCTAGAACTCGGCTCATAGTCACCCTACGTTTGCTAGAGCTCGGCTCATAGTCATACTACCACGTGCTAGAGCTCGGCTCATAGTCACGTCACTAATCCCTAAACCACTTCTTAGTCTAGGTTCCATCCACTTCGAGTAACCCTTTAGGCCTACTCCAAAAGTGACTTGAGTTCATAAAGTCCACCTTAAACATATCCTTTAAGGTTACTCAACTCCAAAATCTTGGGATTAGCTCCCAAAAACTATTGAACTAACATTCCCGACTAGTATTCCTATACTAGTCATTTAATCTTAATAAACCAATGCAAATTCATAATGATTTGAATATTTCAATTTAATTCCACATTCAAGTATACTTGGCTCTAATATCAAAATATCACTTTTATCCTTCCATGACTTCCTTACATGAGGTAAAAGTATATTCATCACAATTAATTTATAGTTTACACACTATTATACCATTGTATTCATAACACATAATCATACACAATTTATTCATAAATTTGTATATTATGCATCTTTGCTTATAAACAATAATAATCTCATTTAGGCATCTTTTTATTATAAATAAATCATGCCAAACACATATAATTCATTTAGGTAATCTTATGAAAATTAACCCAATAATTATAAGCAATATAGTCGGTCATCCTCACCTTAAGTGAGCTTAAGCGCGTTCTACGCTTCCCGATTGAACTTTGACTAATTCCGGCAAACTTTGACCAACTCCGGCGAACTTTGACCAACTCCGGCGAAGCTCAAAAATTCCTTAATCAAGTTCCTAACAAGGTTTTAACATCATAAAACCTTAATTAATACAAATAACCTCTAAAAGGTTATTTTCCGGTGAACTTGTCGGTTTGGCTCCTAAGTCCGTTTTTTGGACTTAGAACCATCTTCCAACCCACCATCCCACACTCAAAACGTGTGGAACATTACCAAGGGTTCTTCATGTGATATATAACTCATATGATAATTAAGGAATAGAGGAAAAATTATTATAAGGTCATTACCTTAATCCACCTAGTTTTTCCTCCTAAAAACCTCCCCCTTGGACCTCCTTGAGCTTGAGCTTGTTCATGGCTATGGAAGATGCTACTTTTTCTGGGATTTTCTTCCTCTCTTGAGGGTGTGGCCGAGTGATGAAGAGGGAAGGGGGTGAGTATCTTCTTTTGTCTCAATAGCATGAGGGGTGTGGGGAGAGACCCACCTTTTATTTTGTTTGATTCCTTTCCATTCACATCACACACCTCACCCATGTTTCCTTCATCATTCAGCCGGCCAAACATCAACTTTGTGTGACCAAATTCGTGGGTTGGCCCCCACCCAAGTGGGAGGTCAACCCCTTTGGTCCAGAAGTGTACAATCGGCTCCGAAAGTTGTATTTTTCGGACTGTTTTAAATATATTTTATTTTATCGGGTCAAATAAAATATATTATGTGTTCTTAATCATTATACCCTTTATAATGAATATACATTCCCAAACTTTAATTTATAAGTCCCCGAAATTCAATTTCGGGCTTTTATCGGTTAAATTATCAATACCGATATTTGGGTTTCTTTTGACCAATCAGTCAACTCTGGACCTTTCCATGGTTCAAATGAAGTAGCCACCACTATATAAATATTATCTTGACCAAGATAAATAAAATATATGGTTTCGGGAAATTCGGGCGGCCCCGCTCCCGGTGTGGGTCCCACGTGCGAATTTATTATTTCACGCAAAAGAAATATTAAAAATTCACCACTTCGTATATTCATTAACCATTCCCTAAGGTTCAATACATTATACTCTTAAAAGTAAATACATTTGGAGACGGTGTTACAAGTTCACCCCCCCTTATTTGGGATTTCGTCCCCGAAATCCACGTGTCTAACCGAAAAGAAACGAGTATTGCTCCCTCATTGAGACCTCAGTCTCCCACGTTTCTTCTTCGACTCGATCACTCCTCCAAAGAACCTTCACCATAGGAATCTCCTTGTTCCTGAGCTTCTTCACCTGTTGACCCACAATCTTTACCGGTTCCACCGCATATTGTAGATCTTCACGTATCTCCACCGGTGGCTTTTCAAGAATATGAGACGGATCTCTCACGTACTTCTTAAGCATTGATACATGAAACACGTCGTGTATCTTCTCAAGTTCTGGTGTCAACTTGAGACGGTATGCCACAACCCCTATCCTTTCAAGGATTTCAAATGGACCAATGTACCTGGGGTTAAGCTTTCCCCTCGATATGAATCGGATGATACCCTTCCAAGGAGAAATCCTTAAGAAGACCTTATCACTGACCTCAAACTCCAATGGCCTGCGTCGTTTGTCGGCATAACTCTTCTGCCGATCTTGGGCAGCCTTGAGTCTATCCTGAATGACTTTCACCTTAGCCTTGGTGATTTCAACAAGTTCAATCCCTTCGAGCTTGGCCTCGCCAACCTCGTCCCAACACAGCGGTGTTCTGCATTTCCTCCCATACAATGCCTCATATGGAGGCATGCCAATACTCGCCTGATAACTGTTGTTATAGGCAAACTCTACTAGAGCCAAATGTTTGTCCCAGCTCCCTTGGAACTCCAGAGCACACGCCCTAAGCATGTCCTCCAATATCTGTATCACCCGCTCAGATTGTCCATCCGTCTGTGGATGAAAAGCCGTGCTGAACTTCAATTTAGTACCCAAGGATGCTTGAAACTTGGGCCAGAACCGGGATGTGAATCGTGGATCCCTATCCGAGACAATGGATATCGGGACTCCATGTAATCTCACAATCTCCTCCGTGTATAGCTTTGCCAATCTTTCAAGAGGGTAAGTGATGTTAATAGGCAAAAAGTGTGCACTCTTGGTGAGCCTATCAACCACTACCCATACTGCATCATAGTTGTTCACTGTTCGTGGTAGCCCCACCACGAAGTCCATGGTAACATGCTCCCACTTCCATTCTGGAATGGTCAGTGGCTGCAAAAGCCCCGCCGGGTGCTGATGCTCTGCCTTAACTTGTTGGCAAGTAAGGCATCGACTCACGTACTCCGCGATGTCTCTCTTCATACCCGACCACCAGTAACTTTCCTTCAAGTCTCGGTACATTTTAGTACCTCCTGGATGCATAGCATATGCCGAAGAATGAGCCTCCTCTAGTATGGACTTTTGGAGCTTCTCACTCTTTGGTATGCATACACGGTCTTTAAACAGTAAAAGGCCGTCATCACGTACCCGAAAGTTCTCCACGGGCCCTTCAAGGATCCTCTCGCGGATCTTCTGGCATTCTTCATCAGTGTCCTGACATCTACTGATCTCACTCAGCAATGTAGGCCTAACCTCGAATCTAGCAATGAGGACCCCACTCGTGGACACCTCCACGTGTGCCCTCAAAGTTCGTAGACATGTGAGTAATGTCCCCGACATACTTTTCCTGCTCAGTGCATCGGCCACTACATTGGCCTTTCCGGGATGATAGTCGATGATCAAATCATAGTCCTTGATCAATTCCATCCATCTCCTTTGCCTCATATTCAACTCTTTCTGAGTGAATACGTACTTCAAGCTCTTATGATCGGTAAAAATGTGACATGTCTCCCCATAGAGGTAATGCCTCCAAATCTTCAGTGCAAACACTACCGCCCCCAACTCTAGATCGTGGGTAGGGTAGTTCGCCTCGTGTTTCTTCAATTGCCTAGACGCATAGGCAATCACCCGACCGTTTTGCATTAGTACGCATCCAAGCCCTTGGATGCTAGCATCACTGTATATGTCATACCCTATCCCTTGTGTGGGTAGAGCGAGAACCGGTGCTTCCGTAAGCCGTCTCTTTAGTTCGAGAAAGCCTTTCTCACAATTGTCGTCCCATATGAACTTAGCCCCTTTCTTCGTGAGCTTTGTCAATGGAGACGCCAATACGGAGAATTTTTCAACAAACTTCCGATAGTATCCCGCTAAGCCAAGGAAACTACGTATCTCTTTCACATTTTTGGGTCTCTCCCAATTCATAATGGCTTCTATCTTGGCTTTATCCACCGAAATTCCCGAACTTGACACGATATGCCCGAGAAACCCAATCTCTTTGAGCCAGAACTCGCATTTAGAGAACTTGGCAAAGAGTTGTTTTTCCCTTAGCCGTTCAAGTACAAGACTCAAATGATCTTCATGCTCCTCTTCACTTTTGGAGTATATCAAAATGTCGTCAATGAATACTATCACAAATTGATCTAAGTATTCACTAAACACACGGTTCATCATGTCCATGAATGCCGCCGGTGCGTTGGTTAGACCAAATGACATCACCAAAAACTCGTAGTGACCATATCTAGTGCGAAATGCACTCTTAGGTATGTCACTCTCCTTTATCTTCAACTGATGATACCCCGACCTTAAATCAATCTTCGAGAATACTGTTGCCCCTCGGAGTTGATCAAACAAGTCATCAATCCTCGGTAAAGGGTACCTGTTCTTGATCGTGACCTTGTTCAACTGTCGGTAGTCTATACACATTCTCAGTGTACCATCTTTCTTCTTTACGAAGAGTACGGGTGCTCCCCACGGTGAATGACTGGGTCTAATGAACCCGTTGTCCAATAGCTCCTGAAGTTGAACCTTCAACTCTTGAAGCTCAGCCGGTGCCATTCGATAAGGAGGAATCGAAATGGGTTTGGTTCCCGGCTCCACTTCAATCACGAATTCGATCTCTCTGTCGGGTGGAAGCCCCGGCAAGTCTTTGGGAAAGACATCCGGATATTTGCACACGACACGTACATCGTTGATGTCAACCTCCTTCTTTGCTTCATCCACCACATAAGCAAGGTATGCGTGGCATCCCTTCTTCATCATCTTCCGTGCCCTCATCACGGATATCATACAACTATGAGATCCTCCCCGATCTCCCTCGAAACGTAGGGTGTTTCCCTCGGCATCCTCGAGTTCCAAAACCTTGGCATAACAATCCACTCGAGCATGATGTTTCTTGAGCCAATCCATCCCTAGAATTGCATCGAATTCTAACATACTTAGAGGTACGAAGTCACAAGTCAAAGGTTGACCCGTCACTTCTACCTCACACGAAGGGTAGTAGTGTTTCCTCTCCACATCGTCTCCCAACGGTGTAGAGACCAACAAGGGTTGTGTCATTACTATCAACGGCACGTCTAAACTTTCGGCAAACGCTTCACTCACGAATGAACGTTGTGCCCCGGTATCAATGAGAATTCTTGCGTTTCTACTGTTGATCTTTAATGTTCCTACATACATAAGTCATGTAAGACACACTAGGCAACGTACCGGATCGAAACGGGGCTTAACGAAAATTTTTCGGGTAACAATACACTGGACCGGCGCCGGTTTTTGGCAAGACCGGCACCGGTTTGCCTTCGGGGTGGCCGGATTCACGCAAATTAAACTGGACCGGCGCCGGTTACGGCCAAAACCGGCGCCGGTTGACCTTCGGTCACCTTCGAAAAAAGTTATTTCTCCAAAACCGGCCCCCGTTACGAGCACGGTGATTTTTCCGACCCCTTTTCCCCTAGCCCGGCGCCGGTTATGGGCAAAACCGGCGCCGGTTTTGTTACGGCGTCCCCGGAAAATGAAATTTTTATAAGCCAAGTCCCCCCGACCCTTGGCCGGCGCCGGTTATGGGCCAAAACCGGCGCCGGTTTACCCACGACAACCCCAAAACGGGTGTTTTTAATTAGAACCGGCGCCGGTTTAAGCCTTGACCGGCGCCGGTTTACCCCTGGGCAGTTTATTTTTGCAACCTTTTGCTAGGAAACCGGCCGGTATCGGCCCCGGCCAGCCCGTACAAACCCGCTATCACTTTTAGCACTCGATACATGTAATTTATCAATCGTCACAAAGGGTTACCTGCAACGGAGTCAGGATTAGCCCGAGCGTCAGCCTCGGTCATCGCATAGACTCTAGCTTGAGTCCTCCCTTGATTTACGGACGGCGCGTTGCTCGTGCTCGCTCCCCCTTGCCCCGCACTAGCATGGGGTGCCCCGGTTCGGCTCCTACTCGCCGTGGTGGCGCCGCTTGATCCCGCCCCTCGGTTCCCACCAAGTTGAGGGCAGTTTGGTTTAATATGCCCTGTACTCCCGCATTGGAAGCACCGTGGTGGATCACGACACTTACCGGCGTGGCTCCTGTTGCAATTCCTGCACCTGGGCGTCGTTGAGGCTTGTGAGCCCGAGTTGTGCCCGCTGAAGGCCGGGTTCCCCTTGGATGGCGGTGTCGGTGCTCTGAACGATCCACCTCCCCCATGGTTCCCCTTTTTGTTAGAACCTTGGGGGCCATGGTTTTCCCACTTCCTCTTCTTCGCCTCATCGACGTCTCTCTTCTTTCTCTCTTCCCATTGCTTCTCTCCTTTCAACCCTTGGGCAACCACTTGGCTGAAAGTCATGTTGGGCAATTGAGTCGCCCTATCACGTATCTCCAAGTCCAAGGCCTCCCAAAAGTGATTCACCATTCGGTTTTCATCACAAGCATACTCCGGTATGTGGTCGGCAAGGTCCCTGAACTTGTGCTCAAGTTCTTTCACCGTCATGTTACCCCCTTGGGTTAGAAGAGTGTATTCTCTCACCTTGGCATTTACCTCAAAGTCAGAGTAGTATTGGGCAAAGAATTCTTGCCGAAAATCCTCCCAAGTAACATTCCCTCCATACTTTCCCTTCGTTCCATCCCACCACTTGGATGCCAACCCTTCAAGTAACCTCACCGCGATTCTCAGTTTGAAATCGGGGGTGAGTTGCATGTCAAGGGCTGCCTCGTTCAGTCTCTTGATCCATTGCGCGGCCACCGAGATGTCCCCCGTCCCATCGAACGGTTTGCACCCCAAGTCCCTCGCCTCTTTGATGTATTTGGAGATCCTTATGGTTGGACCTCCATCACCTCGACTCCCATGCGCTTCCACATGGGTTCTTGAATCACAATAGCTCCTTCCTCTTGGAGCCCCACCCGAAGGTTGCCCTGCACGGCGCCTTCGGCGTTCCCTCCTTTCCTCGCGCTCCCGATGATATTGTTGGAGCAGCGCTTCGATCCGAGCCAAAGAGCCACTTTCCTCCTCGTCGCTCACATCATCATCATCCCCTTCATAAGGGGTCTCAACCGGCTCAGTTTCTGGCCGGTAGGTTGAGTCCTCATAAGACCAATAGGTCTCACTCTCCGTGTCGACGTGGCCATCGCTCACGGTTTGACGTTGGCCTCCACGGCCCCTTCCTCTTGATCCCCTAGAGGACCCCCGGCTACCGCGTTCGGACCCACCCGGTACACGGCCCGTCGGGTTCCTCCTAGTGATCCTTCCGACTGGCTCCATTTCTGAAAGGAATTAGAGTGAGTCATTACACTCGTATCAATGTCAAATGACGGATAGGTACTTAAAGACATCCTTTGGCTCAAATCACCGCCATACCAATGGTTAAGGGTACCATCTTAACAATTAGAGACTTTGCAACTCAAGTACCAAAAGTTCTACAAGTACAAAACTTTTATGCTCATGGTTTTCAAATTCATTTTCGAAAAGAGATTTTGAAGCTTCATTATGTAGTTTACGGACTAAGGCTCTGATACCAATTAAATTGTCACGCCCCGGACCTAACCGGACACGTCAACAACCCGCCGTACAGTACGAATGGTCAACCGCAGTCCAACACATCCATACTATACAAGGCGTCTGGGATATCATTCACACATAGTACATCCATAAACAAACATAATGTAAAATATTCATTCATGGCAGCGGAAACATTCAATACGAGTATTCATGCCACACCTTGGCAAACATGGGCATACAAGCCCCCAAATAAATATTTAAAAGTATTATCCATGAGCATTAATTAAATAGTTTGTAAAAATGGAAACGGAGGAAGCACGAACCACGTCTCCCCTTCCTTGGATCCCCTCGAGAGCAACGTCGTTGGTAGCAACCTTCAAGTTCTACCTGAAACTGTGAGGTGGCCTCCCCCGTGAAGGGGAGGTCAGTACTTGGAAGCATTTGACAAGTACAATGACAACTATACTAAGTATAATCAAAGTTTCAATTTCCAAGACCCTCAACCTAAGATGTTATTCATTTGTAATTAACTCATGTTCTCCATGCTAGAGCTCGGCTCATAGTCATATCATTTTGTGCTAGAGCTCGGCTCATAGTCACCCTACGTTTGCTAGAGCTCGGCTCATAGTCATACTAATTTGTGCTAGAGCTCGGCTCATAGTCACCCTACGTTTGCTAGAGCTCGGCTCATAGTCATACTAATTTATGCTAGAACTCGGCTCATAGTCACCCTACGTTTGCTAGAGCTCGGCTCATAGTCATACTACCACGTGCTAGAGCTCGGCTCATAGTCACGTCACTAATCCCTAAACCACTTCTTAGTCTAGGTTCCATCCACTTCGAGTAACCCTTTAGGCCTACTCCAAAAGTGACTTGAGTTCATAAAGTCCACCTTAAACATATCCTTTAAGGTTACTCAACTCCAAAATCTTGGGATTAGCTCCCAAAAACTATTGAACTAACATTCCCGACTAGTATTCCTATACTAGTCATTTAATCTTAATAAACCAATGCAAATTCATAATGATTTGAATATTTCAATTTAATTCCACATTCAAGTATACTTGGCTCTAATATCAAAATATCACTTTTATCCTTCCATGACTTCCTTACATGAGGTAAAAGTATATTCATCACAATTAATTTATAGTTTACACACTATTATACCATTGTATTCATAACACATAATCATACACAATTTATTCATAAATTTGTATATTATGCATCTTTGCTTATAAACAATAATAATCTCATTTAGGCATCTTTTTATTATAAATAAATCATGCCAAACACATATAATTCATTTAGGTAATCTTATGAAAATTAACCCAATAATTATAAGCAATATAGTCGGTCATCCTCACCTTAAGTGAGCTTAAGCGCGTTCTACGCTTCCCGATTGAACTTTGACTAATTCCGGCAAACTTTGACCAACTCCGGCGAACTTTGACCAACTCCGGCGAAGCTCAAAAATTCCTTAATCAAGTTCCTAACAAGGTTTTAACATCATAAAACCTTAATTAATACAAATAACCTCTAAAAGGTTATTTTCCGGTGAACTTGTCGGTTTGGCTCCTAAGTCCGTTTTTTGGACTTAGAACCATCTTCCAACCCACCATCCCACACTCAAAACGTGTGGAACATTACCAAGGGTTCTTCATGTGATATATAACTCATATGATAATTAAGGAATAGAGGAAAAATTATTATAAGGTCATTACCTTAATCCACCTAGTTTTTCCTCCTAAAAACTTCCCCTTGGACCTCCTTGAGCTTGAGCTTGTTCTTGGCTATGGAAGATGCTACTTTTTCTGGGATTTTCTTCCTCTCTTGAGGGTGTGGCCGAGTGATGAAGAGGGAAGGGGGTGAGTATCTTCTTTTGTCTCAATAGCATGAGGGGTGTGGGGAGAGACCCACCTTTTATTTTGTTTGATTCCTTTCCATTCACATCACACACCTCACCCATGTTTCCTTCATCATTCAGCCGGCCAAACATCAACTTTGTGTGACCAAATTCGTGGGTTGGCCCCCACCCAAGTGGGAGGTCAACCCCTTTGGTCCAGAAGTGTACAATCGGCTCCGAAAGTTGTATTTTTCGGACTGTTTTAAATATATTTTATTTTATCGGGTCAAATAAAATATATTATGTGTTCTTAATCATTATACCCTTTATAATGAATATACATTCCCAAACTTTAATTTATAAGTCCCCGAAATTCAATTTCGGGCTTTTATCGGTTAAATTATCAATACCGATATTTGGGTTTCTTTTGACCAATCGGTCAACTCTGGACCTTTCCATGGTTCAAATGAAGTAGCCACCACTATATAAATATTATCTTGACCAAGATAAATACAATATATGGTTTCGGGAAATTCGGGCGGCCCCGCTCCCGGTGTGGGTCCCACGTGCGAATTTATTATTTCACGCAAAAGAAATATTAAAAATTCACCACTTCGTATATTCATTAACCATTCCCTAAGGTTCAATACATTATACTCTTAAAAGTAAATACATTTGGAGACGGTGTTACATCCAAAGTAATGCACATTGTGATTCATGGAGGTGCACGCTTATGATTAAAATAATACACAATTGAAATGTGAACAATTATGGTTAAAATAATGAACAATTGATATGCACATTTTCTAATTTATGGTGTTGCACATTATTGTTTCAGAATTGTTCTCATTTCTCTCCTTAAAATATGGTCTCATTTTAACCAAATTCATAGGGATATCGCTTAGTTATTTAGTCATTCCATCATGTTGATATCTCGACTAATCGGAAATAGAAAAATGTACGAAATAAGAGTAAAAATGTTTTGAAATTCCAAAACAGAAGTGTCATACTTTTATGCCCTAAGTAGGAGTAATTACCATCAAACTGGAAAAATATTGTCATGTGTAATGTTTGATACTGTCAAAATGACAATAATTACTCCTATTAAGAAAATAAAATTTGGACAGTCCTATTTTGAAATACTCCAATTTATGAATCAAGAATACTTTCAGTCAAAATGAATTAATTAGGAAAATTGATAGAATACTCACACTAATTTATGAATCACGAATACTTTCAGTCAAAATGAATAAATTAGGAAAATTGATAGAATGCTCACACTAATTAAGATGCTTGTTAAGGGTATATTCAACCAAATTTTCAAAAGCATTATGAAATGAGTTAATGTTTACAAGTGTGATTACTTATTCATAGTGAACCCTTCAATCATTTGATGGTCATCACTGAAGTCTGAAGAGGAGTATCTGCTCTGTAACATGATTGACATGCCTTCATTGATTACTTCTAGCTGAAAGTCTTAATTCACTAATGTATACATGAGATTATAATAATTATTAGCTACATTAGCTAATGTGGATAATATACAAATAACGTAATGATGATGTACAAGGGAAATCTTAGAACAAGTCATCGGATAACATAAAACAAAGGGCAAGAAAACTAGCTAAATATATACTTTCTCAGTTTCTCCACAGGCCATCATATTTCGGAACCAAACGGCACTCCACTTTCTGGGATCCAAGAATCCCCTTGGATAAAATTCTTCACACAAAATGAGCTTGCTTCTTGGGCCGCCTTCAACACATGAAAGCCTGCCCAATTAACCCGTCTATCCGTGGATGCCCCGGCCCCCGTATTCATGTACTCCCCATAATACAAAGTTGAGAGTGCATAATTCCCACTCCACTCCATCCAACCCTTTGGATCAATAATCCCATCAAGGTCACTCTTTATGAACAATGTCCTTGAATACTTCTTCCAAGGCCTCCCCAAGTAACTCTTTACCCTGCCTTTCACACCATCCAACTCCGGCGTTGGTTGCACCCTCGAGTTTATGATGGATATCCCTGTGTTCTCATTCGGGTCATACCTCCCTTGGGCCGTTATAAAGTTGGATTGATGATCCATGGGCCGCGTGACGAAAATGTCACAATTTTGGAGCACGGCCGAGGCATCCCCGAATATGAAGTCAATCGTGCCATAGATGTGGCAATCGCGATAAAATTGTCTCAAGGAATGGACCATGAGAGTGTCTTGGTAGCCCTTCATGCTGCATCTATAGAAGAGGGCGTGATCCGAGGCGACCGCCAATGCCACTGCTTGGTGTTTGTGTGGCCCGGCCGTGTTCTCGAAGGTCATGTCCCGTGCCCAAAACCCATCACCCAATACACCTATACATCAAAATGTTAGATAGATGATAGAGTATTTGTCCAATACCAATTTGATATACTAGTATCTAATGATATATAAAATCGTGAACTACTCCTATTATCAAGATGGCCTAAACAAACGGTCAACTAAATCAAATTGGGGTTTAGCATATATACCCATGATTTAAGTTTCAATTCCCATTTCGATCAGCCTCTTTATCCCCGCATCTCAAGTTTTCTAACACGATTGATTAGTGGACATGTTGAAGTATTAATCTAATACGAGTTTGGTCTTATCAAATTAACTTTTTATGAGGAAATCTCTATGATTAATAGTTTGTGCATTATGCTAGTTTGGTTGGGTCATCTCAATTTAAATATAACAAATAACAATACAAATCAACATATAAAGTTTTAGACTCACGGAATGTAGCGGAGCCTATGGTGGTAGCACCGTCTTGGATGTTCCGATTCCCGGTAACTATGGTCTTGTCCATCCCGTCGCCAACGAACATTATGTTCTTCATTCGCCTATGGATCTCAACATTCTCGTTATAAACTCCGCGTTTGACGTACACAACCACCCTTTTCTCCCCGTTGTTGCCCATTCTGGATAGTGCATCGACTGCCTGATTTATTGTGTTGTAAGTGCCGGATCCATCTTGGGCGACCACAATGTCGGCCGTGGAGGATGCTGAGTTCCACGATTCCATGAGCCCCCAATACTGGCTTGAACTTCCTGCCTTCTTACGCACCACTGCCGCCCAGGTCATTTGTACATATAAACGTAACACAAACATTGGGTTTAATTTGGTGTATAAAAGTAGAAGCAAATTAAATTAAAAGGACAAAATTCAACTCTGATCTTAATTCATACGGAGTACTTTAAATGCTAGAAAATATCATATACTACGTATATGGATGTAGATCGATCTCATGTGATGTGATTATAGTAAGATGACCTATGTTGCTGGAAACGCAAAAATAAAAAATCGTGACAAAACCGTAAACCGGAAACATCAACTTTTGCAGAATTTTCGAAACGAAAACGTATTCTTTGCTAAGAGTTTATGTTTTCCATAGGAGATCACATAATATGATTGTTTAGTAGAAAGTGAATGCGGTTAATAACTTTATAGGTAAAAATATGAGTGAATCAATCAATTAAGTCATGACTGACTCACTAAAAATAAATTAAACAACTATTGCCACTTTATACCGAAAATCTATATAATTAAGACCCCTCTGTATATATATTTTTGATACATTACACTTTGTGCACATAAATTTTTTAGGGTTGAGTTAGTAATTAGTTGTGCTTTGATTAGGTTTGGCCGCAAACACTACAAAACAAACATGAAATTGACGGAGATTTTTTCAAAGGGAAAACTGATGAGGGATTTAACAACGATTTTTTGTAGGGATTTTTTGCGTAATTTTTTTGTAGTAAAGGTAACATTGAAAAAGTTGAGCATATAAAAATCTCTGATTTAATTTATGGTTTTTTAAAATGAGAGAAAAACATTAAATATATTTAAAACCAAAAAAGAACATTAAATATATTTGTAATGATATAATATTGTCTCAACCAATCTATTTATTTCAACATTCTAGCTATATATTTGTCTCAATTTATTGATGTTATACCCTTCAAAGCCATCGATCTGCTCCAAAACATTCAATTAAAACGTACTCTTCATCCGATCACATACAGCTTTAGAAGCTGTAATAAATACTTCATCCCTCAGCTCCCAACATATGTTATACGGATCGGAGTATGATTCATATATTAAAAATAAGAAATTCGAATTGCTCAAAGTAAGAGATACAAACTTAGAATTTTTTTGTTTTTTTAGAAAACAAACTTAGAAATTAGGATTAAAGAGTTTTATTCAGTTCTCAATATAGGATTTAATTGATCAATCCAATAAAAAATAGAGAGATTTACAATTTTATTCCCGTTTTGTTGTGCCCGTTATTAGTTCAACTTTGAGCACTTACATTTGATCCTCTAATAAATCTATTTGTTTTTAGGACTTTTCCATCACCTTCCGACAAAAAAACTACCAGAAAAGACATATTTGGATGTGATGAAGTCGTCAAGGTGGCCATATTTATTACTCCGTAGCTTATTGGGTCGTCAAGGACTTTTGCAAATTTGTAGTGATTGAAGTTATGACAAAAACGGGAAACCCGAATATTACAGGCAGGCAGGCAGGACAGTGATAAAATTTCAAAATATCGGTAAATGGGTCTTACTACAGAGCAGGGGTGTTTGGAACTGATTCTAGAAGTAGAATCAGAATCAGTTTTCAGAAGCTGATCACCCCAGCTTCATTCTAGGAGTAAATTTGAGTACCAGAATCACTTCTAGACTTTCATCCAAACACTCCAGCTCCTCCTTCCGCTCCCTCCTCCTTCCGCTCCCTAAAGGAGCGGAAGCAGTTTTAAGAATCAGATCCAAACACCCCTATGTTCGAAAGTTTTTGAAAAGAAGAATAGTTATCAATATTTCTTAAAATAGAAAAAAAAATCCTCACTAAAACATAGAAAAAATATATAAGTAGGATAATCACTAAAATATTACCCATTCACTCTTATTCATCGGTGAAGATTTATACTTTTAATAGGGTTAAGCAAGTCCTTTCCGTATTTCTTTATTATAGTTAGTCTTATTTGTACACTTTTTCTATATTGTAATCCTATCTAGAGTAATTTAATTGAGTTGCAAATTTGATTTTTTTGTTCAAACAATTTCATTTTATTTACTTAATAATTAGGGTATAAATTATCAATTAAATTTTAATTTGGATTTTGCAACTTTGTAGAGATTTTAATGTAGAATATGTAAATTTTAATTATTAAAATTGAATGATTTATCAATAACGGATTAAAATTATTGACTTTGCAAAACAATTTGGGAGGTGAGGTACTAATAAGTTTTACACCTATAATGAGTGATTTTTTTAGGGAAAAGGGGCAAATAAGTTCTCGAACTAACCAAAAAAATGCAAATTTGCCCTTATATAGGAGGTTCTGTCCGGCCGTCGTCATTTGTGGAATTTTTTTATCTTGTCCATTAAGTCTTGTTTAGCCATACCAAATTTCAGCTAAAAATTCAATCACGAAGGTAGGCAGATAAATGAATTTTTGAAGATAACTGCGTAGTTAAACAACACAGTATATTTCAGAAAATCATTTGATTGTTTTCTTGATTGAATTTTTTGCTGAAATTTGATATGACTAAACTAGATTTAATGGAGAAGATGATTAAAAATTTCATCAAAAAATTCCTCCGAGAACCTCCCCAAATGATGACGGCCGAATAAAGCCTCTTATATAAGGATTTATTTGCACTTTTTTTGATTAGTTCAAGGGCTTATTTACCTCTTTTCCCTTTTTTTTAAGAGAGATTTCCCTAAATAGGACTAAAAGAAGGTAGAATTGCAAAAATAGGACATAATGTTTTAAATTCCCTTAATAGGACTAATTATTTGTATTTAGACAAAAATAGCCTTCTTAACTCCTGTTGCATCGATTCGCTGGAACGCCTAGAGATGGACGGCCATCTTCGCTATTTGCCCAGGTAAGTTCCTTCTTCATCTTTTTCTTCTACTCCTCCGTTAACTTCTTCTCAAGCTCCATGTTTTCTTCTTCTTCTATTAGTCTTCTATTTTCTTCTTCTTTTTTATTTCCAATTTTTTTAGTCCTGAGTAATTTATTTTAAAAGATTCATATTATTGTTCTCATCACTTCAATCTGAAATTTTCTTCTTCTTCTTTTGAACACTAATTTCTAATAATGTCACTTTTATGACATTACAAAGAAGAAAATGATTATAAAAGTGACAATTTTATGTCACTTTGCTAAGGTGACAGTTTCAAAGAAGAAAATGACATTTACAAAAAGCAAAAATATCATTTTCATGACATTTTCAAAAGGAAAATGACACTTTCAGATTGTCATCCTGGTAAATGTATTGCCACAAACATGACATTTTTTTCAAATAACTAATAATTTTGACATTTTCAGATTATCAAAGTGCCATTTTCCTGAATAAATAAAACTCAAATCCAAAAAAAACCAAATTAATAAATAAAATTCAAATCCAAAGAAGAAGAGAACATAGGACAAGAAATTCGAAGAGGATTAGAAGAAGAAGAAGAAGAAGAAAAAGAAGAAGAAGAAGAAGAAGAAAAAGAAGAAGAAAAGAGGAGGAGATTACCTATGGTAGACGGCGGAGCTGCAGTCCATATATGGGAGGAAGTGATGTGAGGAGTTGCTGCGATGAATTGCAGCAGATCCGGAGAAAGCGACGATGAAGGAGGCAGAGCAACGATGAAGGGGGCAGAACAACGATGGAGGAAGAGCGGTGAATTGCAGACGCGAGATATTGGGTTTAATTAAAGAAGGGCAAAAATGTAATCTGGAGTCCTATTTAGGAAATAAAAAACTTAAAGTCTTATTTTGGAGTTTAATCCATGTTTTAGTCCCCTTTTGGGCAATTTCTTTTTTTTTAATAATAATACAGTGAGTGAGGTAAGTAATTACGTAGTAATTGCCACCTGGTGTAGTCGATTTTGTGTTTCGTTTACGCGCATACATAGCCAAGGCTTGCTTAAGCGACAAGGTCAAGTTCCGGGACGATAAATCATGAGGGTTCGCCGGCAACCCTTTCTCCTCCAAACCATCCACACAGCTCCGGTGGCTCGACATAGCCGCACTAAGCCAGGTGACCGCATCGTTAGGGTCAACGTAGTTGTCCCCCGCCGAGCCGAGCCGTTCCTCGGCGCTTTCGTACAGCTTGACGCAGTCGCTCACGGCAGTAGAGACATTGCCGGCGGCCGGTGATTCTTGATGAAGCTCATGGTTAAAACTTCTCGCCCATTCCGCGGCACGTAAAACCCGGGAACGGGCCGCTCTTATGGCTTCAAGGTCATGGTAGCTGTGACCTTGAAGTGAGAGGATGAAGAGGACTATGATGGGGAGGTGGAAAACGGCGGCGGTGACGGAGGTAGACATTTTTAGTGGGCGGTGGACGGTGGTGAGTAGTGACTGATTAAGAAATTAATGAATGAATTGCGTTAGTTTCATTATGGAGTTTACTACATATGCATGCATGCGATGGCCATGTGGCATTGTTGTGGATGCTAGCTGAGCTAGCTTGGTCTTCTACGTGAGGCCAGCTGTACTTCCAAAGTCAAAAACAAATTAAATGTGTAATTTCTCTGCACCGATTCGAATTATTTCGATATTTTCCTAAATAGAACTACTGCCTAATAAATAAAGGGAAAAGGTGCAAATAGGCCCATGTACTAACCAAAACAGGTCAAATAAGCCCTTATTTAGGAGGCTATGTCCGACCGTCGCCATTTGGGTTGGTTCCCGGTGGAATTTTTTGATGAAATTTTTTGAGCATCTTATTCATTAAGTCTAGTTTACTCATACCAAATTTCAGCTAAAACTTCAACCGGGAAGGAATTCAAATGAATTCTTGAAAATAACTGCACAGTTAGAAGCGCAGTTATCTTCTAGAATTCATTTGAATGCCTTCCCGATTGAAGTTTTAGCTGAAATTTGATATGAATAAACTACACTTGATGAATAAGATGCTCAAAAAAGTTCATCAAAAAATTCCATCGGGAACCACCCCAAATGACGACGGCCGGACAGAACCTCCTAAATAAGGGCTTATTTGACCTTTTTTGGTTAGTACATGGGCCTATTTGCACCTTTTCCCATAAATAAAAGGATAATTACAATGAAGTTTAAAGTTTAAATTTTCAGGACTAACTTTTCCTATTCTATTCTTTTCTCTTCCTTCGGATTTTTTAAATAATTATTATAAATCATAAAAATGTTAAAATAAAAAAAATAATAGCCGTAAAAAATAAATAAAAAATATACAAACCTCAACCACCAGCTCAGTCACCTTCCAACACTGCCACCTCCGATCGATGGAAAAGATTGCCAAGTTGAGGGAAAATGTCATTGAATGGTGATGGCAATTTTGAAAAGAAAACTAGGTATTTCAAAGAGTAAAAATGTCATATTCATGACATCTTTAGAGAAATGTGACATTATTTACACAAGATGACTTTTTTTCCCGGCGATTGAAGGCGCATACATTTTTCATATGTTTTTTTTTAATTTTTAAAATTTTAAAATTTATTTTATATTTTCCCATTTTTTTATTAATTTATAAAAAAATATGATTTTTAATGTTTTTATTATAAATAAAACTATGGTTTTTGTTATTTATAAATAAATCCATTATAAATTATAGATTTGGGGTAGAATAGGAAGAAGAGACATATATTACTCTTATTTTGGGAATAAAAGAAGTATAGTCCAATGTGGAATTTTTGGCTACTTTTACTCAATTACTCTGTATATACAAATATGTAGACATTAGTATTTCCTCCATTTTTTTAATTGTATAACTCTGTTTATACTCAAATATTCTAAGAATGTAAATTAAGAATGGAGGCTCTGTCCGGCCGTCACATATAAGAGGCTCTGTCCGGGAAAAGGGGCAAATAAGCCCTCGAACTAACAAAAAAAGTGCAAATCACCCCTCGTATAGGAGTCTCTGTCCGGCCGTCGCCATTTGAAGAGGTTCCCAGTGGAATTTTTTGACGAGATTGTTTGAGCATCTTCTTCATTAAGTCTAGTTTACACATACCAAATTTGAGATAAAATTTCAATCGAGAAGGCAGTCAAATGAATTGTTGAAGATAACTGTGCATTTAAACAACGCAGTATATTTCAGAAAATCATTTGACTGCCTTCCCGGTTTTGTTTGTAGCTGAAGTTTGGTATGGGTAAACTAGACTTAATGAAGAAGATGATAAAAAATATGCAACAAAAAATTTCATCGGGAACTGCCCCAAATGGAGATGACCGGACAAAACCTCCTATGTAAGGGGTGATTTGACCTTTTTTGGTTAGTTCAAGGGCTTATTTGCCACTTTTCTCTTTTTCTCTTTTTAAATATATATATTCTGAAACTACATTATAAACTTTACAAAGTCGTAAAAATCAGAATCAAATTTGATATATAAAGTAAGAGATTAAGAGTGATTTCTGTTGACTAAGTGAATAGGAACTCGGAAAATCTTAGCAGAACGAAGGAGTACTAAAAATGGGATAATTGACAATTTTTTTTTCAATTTGCATAAATGTGACTAAATTTTTTTAAATTTATTTGCACTTACTTTATCTTATAGTTACAAAGACACCCACCACAGTGACACCCGTCGCAGTGACCACTAGCCGTCACCTGGTTACCATCACTGAAACAATGACACCTCCGAACTCACACCTCTGGCCACAGTTACTCCGCCCACCATCGGGCACCACCACCAGCCATCGACCTTAGCCCCTAGTCCCAATACTTGAGCCATTAACCTCCTTTTCGTCACCACCGTCATCATAACCACCACCACCGCCTAATAACAGTGACATTTAGAATGCCAGTAACACAACCATGACTTGGAAATCACCCCAGTCCCGCCGCCACGACTCTGTCTCGTTTGAACCGCGACCTCGCCCCAGGTGACACCACATACTACCTCCGGCTCTTCCCACCCCCAAACTTCCTCTCAAGCCCCAACTCCCTATCTCTAGTCCCAGCCCTAGCTCCCCACACCTCAGCCGCAGCACCCCCAACCCCAGCCACATCTCCCAAGGCTCATCTCCAATCCCCAGCTCCCTTGCCCCCTCCTCATCAGCCCCTGTAACCTGTATCGCGACACCATCACAACCCCGCTACTCCCCAATCGTAGCATCATAGTCACGGATGTGGAGCTTTGCTAAGGCGACATTGAGCAGAAAGAGAAGAAAAAGAAGCGGCATAGGGTGACACTGAGGGCCAGGGCGATGACGACTATGAAGACCACGGTGAGGAAGAGGGTGAAGGTGGTTGCAAAGGCAAAAGTGGTGGCGACAGCCAGGGAATTGAAGCTAAGGCGGCGGTGATCTGCTGCTCTGTTGGTGGAGGAGGTCGGTACCTCTGCGTGTGCGTGCGTCATTTCTCCGTCTCTAGGAATGTCAAAGCTAAGGCTGAAGCTACTGGGTTCGAGGGCATCACCAAGTTTGGGAGGATAGGTTAGGGTTCTAGGGACATTAAAGTCAAATTATCTCATTTTCAATCACTTTTTGTCCAAAAAGAATTTGTCTTATTTTTATCTTTTTATAAGTTGTTAGTATTATTTGCGTCTTTTTTTTGAAAAGAAAAAATAGTTTTATCGATAAAGAAAAAAGATATGATGCTCTAAAGTAGGAAGGTATTCCCTCCGTCCCTTAAAACTTTGTCAACTTTTCTTTTTTGGATGTCCCACTAACTTTGTCACTTTTCATTTTAAGTAAAGAATTTGTGGTTCGAGTCAATTCTCTCTCCTCTGCACAAACCTCTACCACACAATTTTACTTTATTAATCCTCGTGCGGCCGTGCTGGTCAAACTTGACAAAGTTTTAAGGGACGGACGGAGTAATAAATACTTCCCAAAGTTAATGAAGAGAATAATGCTTAATTAAGATGATAGACCTGAACATCAGAACATGCATGCAACTCGTTTTCAGATAAAAGCCTCTGTTTTGAAGCGATGCATTCACTCCTTATAAGGATCTTACATTTAAATTTTGGAGGATTTGAGTTCGAAGAAGAATCCAGTAAGCGTTGCAGCTGCTCTTGATCCGAAAGAGGTTTTCTAATAGATATATACTTCAATTCGTATTCAATTTCAGTGCTAGAATTCAAACCTGATTCAGTTGACATGCTAACAACCCCTCACTCTCTGGAATGTACGAAGCAACGACCTGTAAGGGCTTTTCTTCTGCAATGTCCAAGTCACTGTATGTCAGATATTTCCTTTTCTAAAACCTCTATTTCACTAAACAGAGATGACGAAGATTGAATTGACTGGAACTACCGAACTATGGAAAATATTTTAAATATATTTTAACGAACAGATTAAAGAAAAATTATGTAAAAATAACTAAAATGACCTAAAATAACTTCAATCAATTTAGTCAGAAAAGTAAATCCAACTTTACGTATTTTGATTATCACACAGGTCTCTTAGTTTTTTCTAGAATTGTTCTCAAATTATCTTCTCGAGTAACTTTAACTAAATTAGCTTGAAATATAAGTTCAACTTTATTTATTTTGATTATTACACAGTTCATCATGAAGAATAAAAAGTTATGAAACTTTCAATTCCAACTGGTCGCCGGCTTACTCTCCCTTACGAGAGGTCTCAAGTTCGAAATTCAAAGGAGTTTCAGTCCTGATTACTCCAGACCCCCAACTCCCCTCTCCTAGACGCCCCTTCAAGTAAAAAAAAACTGAAAACATCCAATACAACAAAGTTATACTAAGTATATGTTAACTTTTTCAACTACACCTCACTTTAATTTTAGATGTCTCAATTAAAGGTTCACATCTTCTACTTTAGGAATGATCTCATTACATTATTTACCTAATAAATGATTTACAAAGATATATTTATATTATTTTATTTAATTATTGCCTAAATAACTATAGACCGGAAAATAATAAAGAGTGTTAGTGAAAATCTTCAGCACAAAAAAAAATCTACTTAAAAATTTTTCCTTCACAAGTTTGCTCTCCTCTACTCTTCCCCGCTT